TCAAAAAAATTTCAACAAATCAACCTAGATAAAAACACTATAAAAACTACTGATGCTATAACTTCAACAACATTATTATTAGAAGAAGAAAAAAATGAAATAAAAATATTTTATTCAACACAAACTGGTACATCAAAACTATTTGCACAAAAACTATACCAAGAATTTTCATCAGAATCCAAATTTAGTAGCAATAATATCACGATATTGGATATAGTTGATTATGATACAGATGATTTTTTGAGTGAAAGTGCAATATGTATTCTTATTATTTCGACTTATAATGTTGAGGGACCACTTGATTGGTTTGTTAAATGGTTGGAGGATACCAGATACGATTTTAGAGTGAGTAAGCAATCATTATCTAACATGAAATATACAGTATTTGGACTTGGTGATTCAGCATATGGTGATGATCAGTTTTGTACACAACCTAGAAATATTGATAAATGGTTGGGTCAACTAGGTGCCAAAAGATTGTATCCTTTGGGAGAAGGGGATAAAAATTCAGGCATTAATTATTTTATTTTCTTATAACAATATAATGATAACAGTTTTATATATTATTATAATGAAATAAATAAATAAATAAATAAATAAATTATTATTTTTATCATATATTATAACACATCCATAGATCAAGAAAAAAGTTTTGAAGAATGGAAAATATCAATGGTGAATTCATTGCTGGACTCATCATATTCTACTTCTAATCAAGATTATGTTGATTCAGATAGTCAAACAGAGGATGATGCTGAAGACAATGATGACGGCAATTCAAGAATTAATAATAAGAAAAAAATTAAAACAGAATCAGAACTTATTGATGTAGAAGACATGGGTAAATTGGCACCACAAATAAAAGCTGCACGTAAATCAAAAGATGTTCAAAATATTTCATATAATTCTGATGATATTAAAGGTAGGTTAAAATTAAAAACAAAATAAATTATCTACATTTCATTAATACTTGCATATATATTCAATGATAGCACAAAAAAAAGTAGTTAAAGAAGTTAGAGAAATGGTCAGCCCAATGCTTCATAAATCATTAACTAAACAAGGATACAAAATAGTTGGAACGCACTCGGTATGTTAACTGCAATTATCAATACAATTATAATTACAATAATAATAAAAATAAAATTCTTGGATGCAGGGTGTAAAAATTTGCAGATGGACTAAAGCTGCTTTAAGAGGAAGAGGATTTTGTTATAAAAATAGTTTTTATGGAATTCAAAGGTACCTTAAGGATCATTGCTATTTCTATATAAATATATATGAATGTGCATGTGATTATAAATATAGATAACATGGAAATAATATTTTTAATTACAAAAAAAAAGTCATCTTTGCATGGAAACTACACCATCTTTAGCCTGCGCAAATAAATGTGTATTTTGGTAAACATAAATATAAATATATATGTTATATAACCAATTAAATATATATGATAATTGATTAACTAATTATATTAATTTTACATAACTATTCATTTCATTCGCTTATTCATTCCTTTATTATTGTAAGTTGGAGACATCATACAAATCCAGTTGGAACAGAATGGAGATGGAAGGTGGATGAGCCACAGATGATTTTTGAAGGGGCAATGGCAAATCATTATCAGATGATTAAACAAATGAAAGGAGTACCTGGTGTACGTGCAGATAGATTTCAAGAAGCATTTAAGATTCAACATTGTGCATTATCATTAGTTGGTGAACCAATTTTTGTAAGATTTTGTCAATAATAAATTAATCATCATGCAATCACACATGTTGTTATTGTTATTATTACATTTTTATTTGTTATTTATTTATTTATGTTTCCAAATATAGTATCCATATATCAACGAATTTATTGAATTGCTACATGGAAAACACATCTCATCGTTTTTAGTTACAAATGCACAGTTTCCGGATAAGATTGCAGAATTGAAACCTGTTACACAACTTTACGTTAGTGTGGATGCCAGTACCAAAGAAAGTTTAAAAAAAATTGATAGACCATTATTTAAAGATTTTTGGGAAAGATTTTTGGATAGTTTAGATGAATTAAGTAGAAAGGGTCAGAGAACAGGTAAATATAATTAAACTAGTAAATTATTAATTATGAACATTGATCAGAAAGAAATGTATGTTTGATTAATGATGTTTGATAATAACAAAAAAAGTTTATAAATAAATAGTATATAGATTGACATTGGTAAAAGATTATAATACAGAAGAAATTGAGAATTATATAGAATTAATTGAGAGAGGAAGACCAGATTTCATTGAGGTGAAGGGAGTCACATATTGTGGATATAGTGGATCGAGTAATCTTACAATGGCAAATGTATGCTCTAATTAATTAATTAATTATTATTTTAAAAAATTAAATAGTAAACAAATCAATTAATAATTAATATAAATATTTAGGTGCCTTATCATAAGGAGGTGATTGAATTTGTAGAAAAAATTAGTCAAAAATTAGGAAATGTATATGAGATAGCAGCAGAACATTCACATTCATGTTCAATTCTTATTGCAAACACCAAATTCAAGATAAATGGAAGATGGCATACATGGATCAATTATGATAAATTTTTTGAATTGATAGAGAAAGGAAAAGAATTTACCAGTATCGACTATATTGCACCAACACCAGAATGGGCGATATTTGGATCTAAAGAGGCAGGATTTAACCCTGAAGATCAAAGATTCTATAGAAAATCTAAAAAGAATAACAAAGGCGGTGATGATGATGATGGTGGTGATGATGGTGAAGGGATTATCGTTGAGGATGGAGGTTGCTAATTTTAAAATATTCATTCTCTTTGAGAATCTTTAAATATCACTTTTTATTATATGAATTAATTAACTGGATAATATTTATAATATTTAATTAAAAATTAAAAGTCAAAGATTCAATCAGTGATATGATGCTTATTTGACCTTGACATATTTTGTAATAATTTTTTGAAATTTGCAAAAAAAAAAAAGGATTATATATATATATATATCATTCCAAACAGTACCTTTTCTCTTGGTCTAGTTCTATAATAATATTTGCTCCTTTCCACTCTATTTTCTGTTCCTTTTGTCATAGTCTTGTAATTGATTCATTTTTTTTATTCTTTATTTTAAATTAATATTGTCTTTTTATGATGTGTAGTGAGTTGTAGTGGGAGCTGATCTTTTTTTATATACAACAAACAAACAAAACACCCGACTTAAAAAAAAAAGAAATATGTTTAACAATTTTTCTTGTATAAAGTTATTTGTGCTTATCAGGAAATCCTCAGGAATTCGAAAACATGTTATTTCTTGTCATATTAGGTAAAAGGGGATTTTTATCTTTAGTGATTCTAATTTTATAAAGCAAAAATGATTAAACGAAGGAAGCTGACAATCTGGTGTCATGAATGACTCTTCTATTCACAATCACAGGCGGATGTTAAGATAGGATAGCCAACTTAAATCAGTCCTTGGTTATGTTATCTATACTGACTTCATGATAGAAGGTAGGAAAGTACGCGTTATAAACATATTTGATATATGGTTAACACGAATTGGATTTTGTGCTGATCAGAAAAATCCTATCATCCAAAAGAAAAATGTATGAACTCCGCCGCTGATTATGGTGATTAAATTTTTTTTTTTTCTTATAATAATAATAAATGTTATTATTGATGTTGTAATATGCGTAATTACAACCACCACCCTCCAAGGGGTCTGGCACGGTTCCCGAAAACTATTTTCCCCAATAGCTCATTAAATTGACTTAAACAGCTTAGCCGGCTAATAAATGGTTTAACAGGCTAAGCCAGACTTAAACAAATTAACCGGCTATAAATAGTCTTAAACATATTAATCGGCTAATAAATGACTTAGTAGTCGGTTGCTGATTTTAATATATGATCGACATGGCGTGTTTTCTGTCAATGAATGAATTGAGCGTAAACTCATTATTAATATTAAACAATTTTCGTGCTCCAAGTAAATACAATCACGCATTTTTGACTTTTAAAATGCAAGCTTTATGATTCTTTAGCTCTTCTGGTTCTGGAATAATAGCCTCCCGAAGAAACCTATGGTTTTTGGTTTCGGAAGCTTAATTCTTTTCGGAAATCAGTTTAGTAGTAAATGAGTGTGTGGGAACTGAGTTTGTATTCAACGAAAGAAAAACTTAACTCCTTGAGAATAACTGATGAAACAAAGGAGAGATTGGGATACACAAAAAAAAACTAGACAATATATATTTATAAGTTTTTTGTGTGAGCTTTATATTTTATTAGCCTTTAAAAAAATTTTACTTACGTATTTTTGACAGATTTAACGTAATAGTTTTACAATTTTGGTAACATTCCGTCAAACAACATTAATTGAGACGCAATCAGGTTTTTATTGAAAAAATCCAAGCCGGCCTGATATTTTACCTAAAATATAATAATAAAATTTCCTTGTGATGAGCACCATCCTTTTTCCACACATTGATTCTGTGACTGACAATAATGATAATAATGGTAATAATGAAATTAACCATCAAATATATTAATATTCACAATATCTGTTGAATCCAAAAGTATCATTTGCCATATTTATCACTTTTCATCCTTCAATATAAATTATTTTAAAAAATTTTAAATTATATCAAAAAATTCTTTTCTTTATCCGCCCAAAAAAACCTCCTGCACACCCAAATATTCTGGTCCAGGTGATTTTAATAGATTTGATACTGGTTCGCATTCATTTTGATTATAAGCATATTCACCAGTAAATTTATGTACAGACCGTGTAATACTATCGATACGAAATTTTGATCTTGTTGATGTTGATATTGTTGATACAGTCAAACCTTGTCACAGCGGACTATAATTAAATTCTTGTCGTAATGGATTTTTAAAATTTTTGCCTCATATTCGCATATAATAATAATAATAATAATAATATGTTATCCGTAATTCTGAACATCCGGGAAAATCTGATGGAATATGCAATTCTAATTAGAAAAGGAATATGAGATTCAATTTATAAATGTTTCTAATAAGTTTTGACTTGAAAAACTATTTTCTAATACACAAATTATACTAATTTTTCTTTCTTCATCTTCTTTATCATCACCATCTTTTAATAATGTATGAAGAAACTTTTGACTCTAGTCATTGACGTAACTAAAGTATTGACTAAAGGTAGTTTCTCACCAGGGTCATTTTGACGACTTGACGTAAGTAAAACCACTTGACGTAATTAAAGACACTTGACATAAGTAAAAAGGCTTAATACAAGTAAATCACTTGATATAAGCAGCAATAATGATGCGTGTCCCAGGAATCAATAAAGAATTATTGTATCATTATATGTACTGTACAGTATGATTATACGGGAGAACTTTTACTTAATTAAACTACTTATCCCCCCGTATACTTTTCTCAAAATAAAAATGCTATTCTTTTTTACAAATTAAAACTATTCTTTTATTATTACATTTCATATATATAATCAAATTGTCTTTGATACATGAGTTGTGTAAAATTGATGTTTTTTCGAGTTTTTGTCTTGGAAGTTAGCTACGCATAATAGTAATATGCAATAATATTAATAATTTTCTTGGGCTGTTTTTGGTATCTGAGTTTGAAGCAATATAGATTGATCAATATTGGTACTTGGAACGACCTTTACATAGCACATAAGACAGGTTTTGGTACAAATTTTTATAAGTTTTAATTTCTTTTCTATTTTTATCACTTTAAATCTTCAAAGAATTTTTTTTATTGGATTATGATAAATCGATTGGTGATGATGAATAATGCAATTTAATCCTTTTAAAAGACAATAAAAAACATGTACGAAAAAAATTGCTTGTTACACATTACTCAATTCTCCGCAAAAATCTCCACATTCATTAAAGCATCAAGTCGAATTTTATATTTTATATTTTATAATGTCATATTATAAACTAACATCATCGTTATCATCAGAAAGAAGGGGATTTGTATATAAAATTAATGGTGGAATGCATAATAATGCTAATGCTAATTCTGATAGAGAAAGTATAAAAGATTATTTTTTTTCATTAGTCGAAAAAAACAAGGAGCTTTCTGAAAATGAAAAAGAATATTGTATAGAAAAGTTTATTTATGAGTTTGAATTAGATAATGCAACATATGAACTGGGAAAACCAAAAGAATGCAACAAGTGCAAATTGACAAGATACTCTGATAGGTTTTGTGAAGGTTGTATTAGATTACAATTACAGAGCCTTTTCACCACTTGGACATCTGGGAATAACATAATTGATGATTTTATTCAACAATGTCAAATGAAATCATCTCTGCCAAACCATATTTTAGAATGGATACCTTTTGAGCAATTTGATGATATAACAAAGTTGACAGAAGGTGGATTTAGTTCGATTTTTACTGCTACATGGATAAGAGGAGGTATTAATGATTACGACGAAAATGAAAAGGAATTTAGTTATTTAGGAAGGGAAAATGTAGTATTAAAAAGTTTAAACAATTCAAATAATCCTGGAAAAGGCTTTTTTGATGAGGTTGGTAGTTGTCATTTAAACAAATAAACAATACTGTATTATATAATACTAATTGGTTTGATATTCAATAGGCAATGAATTATTGTAAAATTAAATCAGGTTTGATTGTTCAGTGCTATGGTATAACTAAATTCCCAGATAATGGAAATTATGCAATAGTTTTAAATCATGCTTTAGAGGGAAATTTAAGGGGTTATTTACAAAACAATCATTTAACATTAAAAGACAGAGTTACATTCTTTCATTATTTATGTTATGCATTATATAGTATACATCAGAAGGATTTAATCCATTGTGATTTACATAGTGGTAATATACTTGTGGGAGGAGGTTGTTGTTATATTACAGATTTAGGATTATGTGGACCAGTTGATGAAAAGTCATCAAATAAAGTGTATGGAATTGTATCATATGTTGCACCCGAGCTACTTAGAGGTAAAATTAATACAAAGAACACCAAAGAAACTGACATCTATAGTGTTGGAATGTTAATGTGGGAAATATTTGCAGGTCATCCACCATTTAATGATAAAGCTCACAATCATCGCTTGATTTTTGATATATGTGAAGGTTTACGACCACCAATACTACCTGGAATGCCTGATGATTATGTACAAATGATGCAGAGGTGTTGGGATGTGGATCCATCAAAAAGACCAACTAGTGAAGAGCTTTGGACATTTGCTAAAAATAAATATGACGAAATTATTAAAAATGAAATTCTTGAAAATAAAAGGTTAACAAATAAGAACTTAAAAAATAATAGTTTAATAAAAAGATTATTCGGATTTTTTAAACATGAAATTGATTTTAATGATGATAGTAGCAGCAGCAGCATTGGTAATGATAAAAATAATGATTCTATCAGATTTTTATTTTATTATTTTCCTCTGCGAGAACCCGAAGTTATCCTTGATGAAATTTTCGTTGATAAAGATAAAGATAAAAAGGGGTTTATTATTGAAAGTAACTTAATCAATCAATATTGTTGATATTGTAAAACTTCCATAGTTGTTTGTTTACACAGTAATTTTGATAAAAAGCTAATCATTATTGGCTCGTTTTAGCATGACAAGACAGAGCACATCGAGAGCTTTCAGAAAATATATGGCTTGTGTATAGGTTTCTTGGGAAAGGAAGAAATAAAAGTAAAAAACGGTTTTATAAGTTATTTATTATTACAAGAACTTT